GCAGTTAGCATACATAATTCAAATTTCAAATAGGCAATTCAATTCAAAATCAAATTTCAGTCAAGCAATATTGTTTCTTCATAAACTGTTGTTGCATTATTCCTTATATTATGAAGCTGCATTTCATGCTCATTGGGTTCAGCCTTCAACTGTCAAAATGGTATTTAGGGGTCTGTGATGCTGCTGCACATTGGAATTGTTTTTTGACATTGTGTTATTAATCATCACTTACTCATCTCAATTGCTTATATTTTTCACCATTTTTTTGTGGTGGTTTCCTTATAAGTTAGCTCCATGAAGCTATGAAGTAGATCCTGATCATGATTTTTTTCGGATAGGTTAAGTAAGGTCTTAACATCAGATTTGAATTATGAACAGCTGCAGCCTATCTTGCTTTCTTGAGTGCTAACTGCTTAAGTATCTCCTCAGATTCTGAAGCTTCGTACTACTCTAATGGCCCATGAAGCAACAAAACCATGTGCACTGTTTATCAGTGTTACCAAATATATTCAGAGGCTCCTTACATGTTTTTAGCATGAAAAGAAATGAAAACAGCAATTTGGCAGTTTTCAGCTGTTTATGAAAGTTTTGATCTATTTAATGCTACCTTTCAACAGCTTGTGTCTCACTCACACCAGTCACACTTCAGATTCTGATGTTGTCCCCAGTATAATATAAAGTATTATGCTGTGTGGCTTCATATTTTCTACAAACCAATTGTCTTTAATAGTAAAATGTCCATTGTTTTGAGCTGCATCATCTGAAAGCATAATCAAAGTCCTAAGAGGCCTAGAGTGTATTTTCTTCCCAGCAGGCTGCCTTGAGACTAACACACCCACCTCTGCCTGTGTCCTCAGGTAGTGCCCCTCTGTGACCAGTGAGTCCGTGGCCCTTCAGCGCCGTCCCTCTGCCGACATGCCACGCACGGTGTCGGCCGCGCAGCTGGCCGCGCTGCAGCGACACCCAGACCGCGTGCGCAACATCTGCATCCTGGCGCACGTCGACCACGGCAAGACGACGCTGGCCGACGCTCTGGTGGCCAGCAACGGCGTCATCTCGCCGCGGCTGGCCGGCCGGCTGCGCTACCTGGACAGCCGGCCCGACGAGCAGCGGCGCGGCATCACCATGAAGAGCTCGGCGATCGCGCTGCACCACACCGACCCGGCCGGCCAGCACCAGCTGGTGAACCTGATCGACTCGCCGGGCCACGTGGACTTTTCGTCGGAGGTGAGCACGGCGGTGCGGCTGTGCGACGGCGCACTGGTGCTGGTGGACGTGGTGGAGGGCGTGTGCGCCCAGACGGAGGTGGTGCTGCGACAGGCCTGGACCGAGGGCATCCGGCCCGTGCTGGTGCTCAACAAGATCGACCGGCTGGTGCTGGAGCTGGGCCTGACGCCGCTCAGCGCGCACATCCACCTCACGCAGGTACGAAATCGACGGGGACGACATGAGAATTAGAAACACACTTGGACGTGTTACCAGTGCTCCTGGAAAACATTGATGCATTTGCTTTTTAACGTTTTCCTATTTAGTTTTTTATCTCATGTCTATTCACCATCTTGGTTCTTGCGATTCATGCAATTTGTCAACTATTACAAACGTAGCTGATTATCAGCAGATTACTCTCATCTCAAATCCAAGGCACCTGATTGCAGCTATTATCGCTGCGTGTTGTCTGACTCTTTGGCCGTCCGTCCTCCGTCAGGTGCTGGAGCAGGTGAACGCCGTCATGGCCGAGCTGTTCACCACCGAGTTTCTGGAGCGTCCGGCCGCCGCGCCGCGGCCCGACCCCTCCCCGGCCGACGCCGAACAGGACCCGGCCACCCGAGACGTGTCCGACTGGTCCACCGGCCTCGAGGACGCCGACGACTCGAGCGTCTACTTCTCACCAGATGCCGGCAACGTGCTCTTCGCCAGCGCCTACGACGGCTGGGGCTTCGGCATCCGCCACTTCAGCCGCATCTACAGCGAGAAACTCGGCATCCGCGAGGAGGTACTCAACAAGACGCTCTGGGGTGACTTCTATCTCAACACCAAGACCAAGCGGATCATGAAGGGCGCCCAGGAGAAGGCCAAGGTGCCGCTGTTCGTACAGTTCATCCTGCAGAACGTGTGGGACGTGTACGAGACGATCGCCGTGCGCCGCGACAAAGACATGACCGAGAAGATAATCTCCAGGCTGAAGCTGACCGTGTCGCCGCGAGACATGCGCTCGACGGACCCGCGCGTCCAGCTGCAGGCCGTGTTCTCGCAGTGGCTGCCGCTGGCGCCGGCTGTGCTCGATATGGTGGTGGCGCGCCTGCCGGCAGCGTCCAGCCTCTCCGAGGAGCGCGCCGAGCGCCTGCTGGCTGGCCGCGGCGTGGAGTTCGACCAGCTGCCGGACGAGACCCGCGCGCTGCGCGAACTGTTCACGCGCTGTGACGCCGCCGAGGAAGCCCCCGTGATCGTGTTTGTGTCCAAGATGGTGGCCGTGGACCGGAGTGAGCTGCCGGAGAACCGCGCGCGTCCGCTGACCGCTGAGGAGATGGAGCGCCGCCGGGAGGAGGCACGCCGCAGACATGCCGAGCGGGCGGCCGCCGCCGCAGCCGCAGCAGCCGAGGGAACGCCCGACAACGACGCTTCGGCTGGCGTGCCGCTGTCGGAGGAGCAGGTGGCGGCGCTGCGCCAGACAGCCGCCACCACCGCCGAGCAGACTCCCGAGCCGGCCGCCGCCGACCCCAAGGAAGTGTTTGTGGCGTTCGCGCGCGTGTTCTCCGGCACGCTGCGGCCAGGCCGGAGACTGCTAGTGTTGGGACCCAAACACGACCCGGCGGCGGCGCTACAGGAGCTGGCGGCGGCCGGTGCGGTGGCCACAGCCGCCTCCCTGGCCGAGCTGGCGGCCGGACAGCACATCACCGAGTGCACGGTGGGCCCGCTCTACCTGCTGATGGGCCGCGCTCTGGAGGAACTGACCGAGGCGCCGGCCGGCTGCGTGGTCGGTATCGGCGGCCTGGCCGACCACGTCCTGAAGTCAGCCACTCTCGCCTCTACGCCGGCGTGCCCCGCCTTCTCGGAGCTGAGCTCGGCCGTGGTGCCGATCGTGCGCGTGGCCGTGGAACCGGCACGGCCGGCCGACCTGCCGCGACTGGTGGCCGGCCTGCGGCTGCTGAACCAGGCGGACGGCTGCGTGCGAGTCACCGTCCAGGAGAGCGGCGAGCACGTGCTCACCACCGCAGGAGAGGTGCACCTGCAGCGCTGTCTGGACGACCTTAGAGAGCGGTTCGCCGGCGTCGAAATCAACGCCTCCGAGCCGATCGTGCCGTTCCGGGAGACGATCGTCGAGCCGCCCAAGACAGACATGGTGAATGAGGCGATCGAGGAGCGTGCCGAGGACCCGGAGTCGACAGGGGGACTGGTGGAGGTCACCACGCCCGGCCGACGTGCCGTGCTGGCCGTGCGCGCCGTGCCGCTGCCAACAGAAGCCACCGAGCTGCTGGACGCGAACTCCGAGCTGTTGGCGAGTCTGCTGCGGCGGCGACAGCGGGAGACGGCAGAGTCGGACGCCGCCGCCGGCCGGCTGCGTCAGCTCTCCGAGTCGGCCGCGGAAGGAGAGGCCGACGGCGAACCCGAGAAGAGCGAGACGGAGCTGAGCGAGAAGAACCGCCGCGAGCTGCACGAGCTGCTGGGCCGCGAGCAGCGCGCCGCGCCGGCAGCGGCGGCCGTGAGCTGGAGCCGCGCGCGCCGCTGCCGGGACGAGTTGCGCCGCCGATTGGCCGCCGCCGACAGCCCGCTGGCGCCGCTGGTAGACCGCGTGTGGAGCTTCGGACCGCGCCGCTGCGGGCCGAACCTGCTCATCAACGCGACCTCCGAGTACAGCCGGCCGTCGGTGTGGGAGCCGCCGGCTGAGGGGACTGGTGAGACCACTGGTCCGATGGCCGCCTTTGACGACAGCGTGGTGCACGGCTTTCAGCTGGCGACGGCGGCCGGGCCGCTGTGTGAGGAGCCGATGCGCGGGGTGTGTTTCCTGGTGGAGTCCCTGACCCTGCAGCCGGCGGACGATGAGGACGGTGTGGGCGCGCACGGCCCGCTCAGCGGCCAGATCATGTCTGCCGTGTCGACCGCGTGTCGGCGGGCGTTCCAGGCGCAGCCGCAGCGTCTGATGGCGGCCATGTACCGCTGTCAGGTGCAGGTGACCGGCCAGGCGCTGGGCCGCATGTACTCGGTCATCGGCCGGCGCGGCGGACGGATACTGCACGGAGACCGCAACGAGGGCTCGCACAGCTTCAGCGTCACCGCCTACGTACCGGTGGTGGAGAGCTTCCGTCTGGCGCAGGAGCTGCGGAAGCAGACGTCGGGCCTGGCGCTGCCGCAGCTGGTTTTCAGCCACTGGGAGACGCTCGACACGGACCCGTTCTGGGTGCCCACCACCGAGGAGGAGTACCTGCTCTACGGACAGAAGGCAGACACCGAGAACGCCGCGCGGCGACACATGAACGCCGTGCGCAGGCGCAAGGGGCTCGCCGTCGACGAGAAGATAGTCGAGTTTGGAGAGAAACAGCGGACGCTTGCCAGGAAGAAATAGGCGCGGAATGGGCGGAGCTAGCAATGGAGGTGGGAGTCAGGGAGGGATTAGTAAATCGTTTTATCCGCCGCCAGGGCCGTCTAGGGGCCACTGCCGAGCGTGATGTTTTCGTGCCTTGGTCAACACCGGGGCGGGTTTCGATTGTGATGTCAATGTGACCGTCCCGGGATCAGCCAGGCGAGGATGATTTTACAAAAGTGGTTTGTTGTTGGGGGCCTACCTCGATGGATCGCATCGTCTATTTAATATACGGTGACAGAGAAGCGTTCCTTTTTTATCTCGTTCCCAAGAAAGTCCAGCGATATTTGGTTCGCGAAAAGACATTTAGGTAGGTGAGAAATGCGTCGTGAACGTGAATGGATGACCTTTGATGAGTCACGAGGTGCGATGAGGACACTTGCAAGCGAACGCAGCCTCCACTTCTGTTCCAAAGTCTGTGTCACCATCTGTCAATTGTATATTACGGAGGCGCCGCTGCCGGGTGCGACCGGCGCCCTCTGAGGCACCTTTCACGGTAGCTGAATCCCTGACAGACCGACACGGCCCGGCCAGGACCGGCGGCAGACCGACCAATCACTCTCTCACCGCCTCGGAATGATACGCCGCTGACGATTAAAGCACGGTGGAAGGGGTCGCCACTTCCAGCGCCAGGCCCCATCGGCAGATTTGTGACACGTAGCCTATCATGGCGCCGCCTGCGGGCTACATACACGGACCGCGGCGGGGACAGCGCCCATCGGACACACGCTAACGACACAGTAACAATGGCCGTTCAGCCGGCCTCTGTTGATCTCTTCAGCTGCCCGAGAGTCCACCTTAACAGGGGCCGTAACAGCGTAACACGTACAACAGTAACACGACATACACCAACACGGGCAGCGCAAACAACACACACATACACCACTGGCTGGAATTACAACGGGAATGTTCCCAATCAAAGGCCGCTGGACGGCACTGGTCCGCAGAGAAGGCCCGCTCTCATCCGACGCGCATCGCTCGGCAAAGGCACAGCTACGGCACTGGCTGGATTCGGTAGACGCATTCACTACTATATATATAATATAATATATCGGCAGGACGTGGGTTCTCAAACACACATAGACGTTCGTCGGATAATGGAAGGCACAAGGGGCGGCAGAGGTTAGGACGATACGTACACATACACAAAATAATCATCGTGTTCTATCAATTGATCTGGGTTCCATTGTGACAAACTGGCAACAGGCATAGGCGGAAGACATGGGCAATATACACTGGGGGCCTGTATGGCGGCCCGGCAGGCGCGCTAACTCCGCTCCTCACAACGGAGTAATGTAGACGCCTCAGTCATTACTCATTCTGCGGGCTTTTGCGCCGCACACGCACACACGCAGTCCACTGCACACGTCTCCAGCTCGGTTGGAATGCCCTCGTATTGCCCACTCGCTCACTCTCTTTCACGTTCGTGTGACCCTTTCACTTTGATGGCCCGGTCACCGCGATCGCCATCATCCACGAACGCTTCCTCTTAGGTCCAGCGAACGGGCTGTGGACCCGGAAGAACAGCGACACTGCACTGCCACCACTGACCGATCATCGAGCCACTGTAAACCACGCCTTATCGGCTGACAGCTGACGTCAGGTCCGGCCTGACGATTTCACTGAATTATCCGGCCTTAGCTAGGCATTCTAGGCTACCGTAACTTTCGGTCGTCTCTCGGCTTCCGCGCCGGGTCACAGCTGTCAGTCTGCTGGCCATGCGATTGCAGCGGGCCCGTCACCACTGGGCGGCGACGCGGCACGGCGGTCGGCGCTGTAGTTTACTGCGCTGTGGCGCTGTACTCCGCACCCAGCCGGCCTAGTTGGCCACTACGTAGTTGGCCGGGTAGAGGCCCACCTTGCCGTCCTTGCGGCCCTTACACCAGCCCTGCTCGTCCTCGTCCTCCAGCTTGTCGAACGTGTCGCCTGCGGACGGATAGAGCTCGGTCATATTCGGAGAACGATGGTAATATCACAGGCGCGTCAGCTACCAGTGGCGCGCAACAAAGCCGTACCATCATAATTCGACAGCCTAAAAAGTCCCGATATGAAGATTTGTTAACTCTTGATTCGGTAATTTTTTTAAGATGCGTTATGATCCGATAAAAGCACAAAGTGACGACCAAAGCATGCACAAAGAACACACTCTACAACTATCACAAAAGATGAACAGCAGACAAACTTACAGGTAGCCTACGATACGAAGTTACGAACCACCACGTCACCCTTCCAATCCACAGTATCTCTCACCGGCTTTGAAGGAGAGCTCGTCGGCCTCGACGCCCTCGTAGTCATAGACGGCTCGCACGGGCACCCCCGGCTCGCCGCTGTCCACCAGGTCGGTCGAGTACTCGTCCCACTCGGACGGGCCGCCGGCCGGCTCGTCAAAACCGTTACCGTTACTGGAGGGAGACACAGAGGTAAAGGTCAGATGTGGAGACAGCGGACAGGCATTGGCACAGCGTCAACAGCCCAAAAGAGACGGAGAGAGACTTTATAGCAATCGAATATGGAGAAAGCGGTCGGCAGGGGAGACGGATAAATAGAGAGGTGTGATAAAACGTGACACCATAATGCAAATGAAAATGTTAAACGCTAGAGACCTCCTGATTACCAGCACCAGCCACCCTACCAGCGCACAAGTCATAAGAACAGCCATGAGCCCATGACTACAGGGCTCAAAATCGAATCAGACACTGGGGCCGTATATCTATGCGTTTACGTTACCACCCTTCCACAAACAGAAAGCTCCCTGCCACGTCTGATCTCGTGTCAATTCACCTGTGCTGCGAGCTGCGGCTGGCGCCGGCGTCGCTGGTTCCTGTCCGACCGTCCGAAGAACCCGTCTGGCTCGTCTGCCGGCCCGTCGGCTTCTTAGAGTTGCGCGTCGCCGGGTTGTAGTCCTGCCAGGGCCGAAAGGCAGGGTCAGGTCGGGGCAAAATAGGGTTGCGGTACTCAAGAGCGCAAGACAGGAAGGTTGCTACCAAGATGCAAGCATGGCTATTCAATAGTAGTGTGAGAACAAAAAATCCTTACAGATTGATCAAGAATAAACAATGTTAAAAATCATTGCCGACTGATCAAGACTAAACGATGTAGTTGAGCCCATAAATTCGTGAGCATGGTACAGAATTCCGTGCATGCGTCTTTCGCATATTTCTTGGTAAGACTTAGCTCTTCACGAAAGTGAACGACAGCTGTCAAGTACGGTCGCTGTTCCCTGGTTGATAATTAGGACATCCAACGATGCAACACGCCTGGTTCAAGCAGACCTTGGCCCAATGGTGCCGCGAGGCAGAATTGTTGATAAACCACGCATACGAGGCGTAGTGTGATGTGAGGTGTTGATTTTGCAGCGATGACAACTCAAGGCAGCACGCGGCCTTCAATATCGCCTTCCGTGATCAGCGCACATTCGGCCCGTGATCGTAACAACAGAGGCCAATGGTGACTTCCTCGTCCAGCTAGTATAAAATAAGAACACAGCACACCATCAGCACTCAGCAGTGTCTAGGTGCTCTACCAGTGCGCTACCCAGCCACCAGACCAAGTCAAACAGCCCCGACTGTGTGATAAATCAGCTCAGCTCAGCTCAGCTCAGCTCAGACCATGCTGCGCTGGTGTCTGTTGCTGCTGCTCGCGGCTGTCGGCGTCTCCTGCTACCAGGATATCAGCCGGTGTACCTACTTCTGCCGCACCTCTGACGGCCGGTTCTTCTGCTGTCACAGCGGCGACCAGGGCGCCCACCGGCCGGTGGTGCACCCGGGACGGTGCCCCCCGGTGCGCCCCCAGTGCCCGCCCTCCCGGCAGCGCCCCCGCACCTGCGCACACGACGGCGACTGTCCCCGCAGCAACAAGTGCTGCTACGATACCTGCCTCGAGTGGACCGTCTGCAAGCCGGCGCTCGGATTCAGCGAGGGGTAAGACCCCGACGTGAGGCATCGGTGGGTCCCACACGAGTAAACAATGTGACAATATTACGTTCACTTCAGCGAAGAAGCTAACAATTTTCAACATAGTGTCCTTCGAGACATATATTTAATGTCGTAAGGACCCAGCAAACCATTTGTAGTGACGACCTGGTAAGAGCAAAGCATAGCTGCGTTCATGAGGAAATATTAAGCTCGTAAACCCTTGGACTTGCACAATTGACAAATGGACAATCCTTTTCAGCATCATCGAATTTGAAGAATTTCAGTTTCCATACCGGAAGCGCGGCTAGACCAACGGCTCCGGTGAGGCTACGAGCGGTGTCTCCATCCACCCTGGCGCCGCGGCGTCACTCAGCTGACATCCTCGTGTGTTGACTGTTTGTCAGTCTGCAGTCAGCGAGCGCAAGTAATTACTCAGCAGATCAAACAAATTATGCCGGCATTATCAAGCAATTCTGGCAAGACCAATGCACAAAATTAGCAGCAAGATGCTTGTTTGATTAAATACGTCGCAGCATGCAATTGTTAGCCAAAACTTACCTGAGCTGAATAATAAAAAGCACATGAAGTTAAAAACTATCATAAAACATAAAAAACGAGTAAGTGATGGACAAAGTGCGTTTGGCGTGCCAGATTGGCGTGAGGTCAATGAGAGAGAAAAAAGCGCAGTATAAGTGAAACGGCGTGATAGCGGGAACAAAATAAATGGACAGAATGGGTTAAATGACTGATAAGGCAGTGGGTAAAATTGAATAGAGAAATGAGTGAAAGACGCATGCAGTCCCACAAATAAGAGAAAAATAAAAGTGGGCGACCAATGTCAAGAGGAACACAAAGACTAGTAAATCCCAGAGAGCGATGCCATTAGGTGCCGGATTGGTGCAGAGTTGGTGCTGGGGATCAGTGTTAGCTAATGTAGGCCTGTGCCGGGTGTTATGGGCCGAAATTTGGTGCCAGGGCGTGGTCGGGGCTGGTGTGGGTGTCATGCGTTTGTTGATAGGGTCAAATATCGTACTACAGGGTGACACAAAAAAAACGGTCATCACCAAATTTCGAATAACTTCGGAAGTTTTATTCAGATCATCACCAAACTTCGGCCACTTAAGGTCACACCTATGTAGCATACATCCACCAAGTTTCAAGTCTTCACTACGAATACTTTTAGTACAGTGTGTGTTTTACTGACGCTCCACAATGTGCTCCAGGTGAGCGCCACGGTGCTGCAGGGCGTAGGCACACTTGCATCCGGCGGGCAAAGTTGTCGATAACCCGATGGCTGTGCACTTAACCCGGCAGTTGCTGGGGTATTTCGCCACCCACCGTTTGCTGGGGGGGGGGGGGGGCGTTAAACGCCCCCAGCCGATAACTCGAGAACCAATAGGCGCAGCGAAACGCACGAGGCGGCAAACGAAAGAACGCGACGAGACGCTTCAGATGAGTACTTTAAAGTTGAATTTTGAGGTCACAGGTCAGGTCAAGGTCAGGTCAAACACCTGAAATCGGGCTTTCAGTAGCATGGACTTCAGGACTTCGCAATGGGCGCCTCTCGTCATAAACTCTGTCAAAACGGTGCACAATCCATCATATAAGGCCTACAAGAGTGTCAGCTCCATGCAGGGGTCAGTCAAGCATAGGTCAGGGTCAAGGTCAGGTCAACCAGGCAGGCACATTTCCCCGAAAATAAAAACTGATATTCGCAGCCTGTGACACATGTTTTATGGGTAATTTGGGGCGTAGAACACGGTGGTGACATTCATTCTATCATATGTGTACGTGTTTGGCTAAAAAAGTTCAATTTAAGAAATTCATGTATCACGGTCGTGAAGTAGTCACGAGAAATTGCCAAGATTCAGTTCAAGATTTTGGAAAATGCGGAACGATAATCAATAATCGAAGATAGCCATTTGATTCTTCATGGTATTGGCAGTCTAATGGCGTTTACGGCATGTCTATATGTCTATTGTGTGATTTTATATTATTTTTTGAACATATGCCGTTTTTGGTCGAAAACTCAGAAATCATGACGTCACTAAAACCTGGATATCTCAAAAATTTTCCGACCGATTTTTTTGAAACTTTGACACAATAAACTTCAATCAATTCCCTACAGGTACTTAAAATTTGGCGCGCCTGCGGCGCGCCGTTTTTATGCTATGGCCCGGCGAAAAAAGTGGGGGCGTTTAACGCCCCCCCCCCCCCAGCAACTCGCGGGTTAACAGAGTGCAATGGCCTCTGGAGACAGTGCTCAGGGGGTGTGCTACCCCTGAAACGTTATTCTTATCGGGTTATCGGCAACTTTGCCCGCCGGATGCAGGTGTGCCTACGCCCTGCAGCGCCGGGACGCTCACCTGGAGCACATTGTGGAGCGTCCGTAAAACACACACTGTACTAAAAGTATTCGTAGTGAAGACTTGAAACTTGGTGGATGTCTGCTACATAGGTGTGACCTAAAGTGGCCGAAGTTTGGTGATGATCTAAATAAAACTTCCGAAGTTATTCGAATTTTGGTGATGACCGCTTTTTTGTGTCACCCTGTAAATGTCTTGCGTTAGGGGCTGTGACTGGTGCGGGACTTTGTGCCCGGGGTTAGGTGAGGGGTTGGTGCAAAGTATGTGCCCGGGATGAAGTGCCAGTGCTATCGGGACCCCAGAGTTTTTTCGTACGGGCAGGTCGTCGCTGACGGTCCGCTGGTTGATGAGCGTGATGTTGCCGTCCGCGATCAGGCCCTTCTTGCTCTTGGCGGCGGCGATGTCCCGGAACTCCTCGCTGTATTCCTGCGGCAGAGGGGGGCCGGACGGCGGCCGGGGGGTCGGACCGGGGCGGCACGGAGGCCGGACGAGCGGCGGTCTCAGTACAGCGGGCGCCGCCGGTGTCACTAGCAGGGCCGGCGGGAGACGGAGGCATGGTGGGCTGGCGGCTGGAGGCATGGTATGCTATACAGTGGTGGTACCCTTACAGACTATCATGAATTCATGAAGATAAGATACTCCGTCTGATCAAGAGCAATTTCATAACGTTCACAAGTCCAGCCGAGCCCATCCGTGCCGCCGCCTCCCTCAATCAGCCCTCATCCACAGAGCGCAGCAGGCCGAGCGTACAGACAGCATGCCTATGGGTCAGCGCGTCCGCGGCGGACCGATACATACACTGGCAGAGCATACAGGGGGCGGGCCGGTCGGCCGTCGGGCTAGCCTCGCCGCCATCCAGGAGCGGGCGTCCAGCCGACCAGAGACTAGCAGCGGGACCTACCTCGAACGCCGGCCAGTTCATGGGCATGTTGACGCCGTGGTTGTTGCTCCACCAGCGCAGGTCCTTCTCCTTGTCAGCGTTGGCAATAGTGTGCTCGAACTCGCGGTAGATCTGTGGTAGTCTGTGAGGAAGAAAGAACGCGAAATTAGGCTAAAATCGCAGCCGGATGCCCACGTGCGTGCTGCAGCTTAACTCTATTCTCGGAGGGAGCAGAAAGGACGGGCGGAGGGAGAGAGAGCGGTGGACTTTACACCCGGACATCAGGACTCTAGCGACAAGGGTGATATACCGTCCGTATCGCGCGGGCTGAGTAAGCCGTGACACCGCAGCGTTCAACTATCGGGCGTCGGTCGGGCCCGTTCAAAATGACTGAGTGTTACTCGGCCATAAATCGATCGCCGAATATGACGGGCAATCGCAGATCACCAGCTGTGAATAGTGGTATTGTTATGTGATAGATGAGCTAATAATAGGCACAAGAGGAAGCTGGACTACTCTCCATTCTTAGCGCAGGATAAACAATGGCTGTTGCAGAGTATCCGCTCGGTGGAGACCGTTAGTTTCGCCCAACAGCTGATTAAATGATCACTAGTATGGGCGGCACGTACTCAGTAAAACCGCAGCAATAACCGTTACAGCCCACTCACTCCCAGTCCGCATACCAGAGCAATCAAACAATCTATAACGTGCCAATAAACCTCCAAAACAGCCACACGAAACACACGAACGAACCCGCTAACGATGCCTCAACACCCAAACCCACCGTTTTGTCAGCCCGGCGCCTCCCTCTCGCGCCCGTAACTCCTCCTCTCCTCGTAACACTCACATGGGGTCTGCCGAGATGTTGAGACACTTCTGCAGGATGAACATGGTGTCTTTGAAGAAGAGCAGCCGCTCGGCCTCCCTGTCCTGGCACTTGTTGAACACCTGTGTCATGTCCTCGATGTAGCGCGGGTTCTGCTCCGAGATGTCTCTGAGCGCCATCTCGTAGCGGTCCTTGGTGCGCGTCACGTCCTCCTTCGCCTTCTGCACGCGCTCCTGCTGCTTCTTCAGCTGCAGGAAATATAAGGGGAGGACTGCGGTCAGTAATGGGGCTGGCACAGGTTAGCGCAGGTCACCCTGTTTCTTCAGCTGGAGGAGAGACAGGGGATGGACTGTGGTCACCGGTCAGCAATGGGGCGTAAATAGTTCAGCGCAGGGCACCCCGATGCTTCATCTGAGAGGAGTAAACGAGTTGACTGATGCAGGTCATGCCAGGCAACCAGTCAGCTCAGGTCAAACAGATTAGCGAAATATTTGTTGAGTCATTAGCAGTAAATCAAGGCAAAATTGGACAAGAAACACACTGCAAAATTACTCCCATTAACACTCAACAGCTTCATACAACACAACACCTTAGCAATTCGGCCACAATGGCAGTGGGGTCATTTGCTCCACGGTCCGTAGCAGCGGAGTGCTGTACGCATCTTTCTCTGTAACGGCGCCAGGTCAAGACACCAAACGGCGGCGGTGACCCGAAACGCCGGCTAAGGACCGTCGCCCTGTCCCCTCCTATGAACGTCTATTAGGCGCTAGCTTTTGTCTTGAGATTGACGATACCTCCACCAAACCGTGGCGGCACCTCCGGTGGACCTCTACTGAGACGGCACTTCCTGTTCTGAAGACACCTGCAACTCTACTTGGAGTAGTAGCTGGCGGCATTAGTACTGAACATAGTTGACTTTTCTCCCGAAGACGGTAGCATCTCTACTGAAAGCGGTGACATCTCTACCGAAGAGGACGGCGTCTCTACTGAAGACGGGCGGCGCCCCTACTAATGTCGGTCACACAGAGCGAGCATCAGATGAGAATTATCCCATTGCCGGTCTGTGCACGCTAGCAAGGGCCTGCTGTGAGCTACTGCAGGGCACACGCCACGGCCAGCCCAGCGGGTGGGGAGGGGACCAGTGACCAACATGCAAAAACGGACAGGGAGGGGAGTGTGTAGGACATCGGAACGCTTTCAGGTGCGCGCTGCGCGGCGGGAGCGATACTATACGACTGAAACGGCTACAGGGAGGTGGGGGAGGCTGCAGCACGGTGCTTTATGAATATGGAAAACGGCCCGATGGTCAAATAAACTTTGCAGAGTGCGCATCCGTAACAAATGACCACCCATTTCAACCCAGGCTGCATCGCCATAACCCGGGGCTAAGGCTGATGGAAGTTTGATGCTGCTGTAACACATAAATGTGTTACAAACCCGCTGTATTTAGTCATGGACACGGTCTAGGATTTCCGCCGTCAGTGTCAAAATCTGCAAACCCAGAGGCCTATCAATGTTCCGCTCACAGTCCAAAGGTAAGTTCACAATCAAAGGTCAGTTCACAGCTCGGGCCCAATGCCCACGTAGTCCGTGTGGGAGCTCTGGGCAGGGTCCAGCCATTGCTCCCGCTGCCAGCTTCGTACGACCCGGCCACCCCACCGGCGCCGGGCCGTCGCCCGGCTGATCCCGTGCGCGGTATGCTAATTCTCCATTGTGAATCGCCACCCGGCCGGCCGAGTGCGCTGGCGGCACGTGACGGTGCTGGTGCGCCGCCGCTGAGCCGCTGCAGGGTTCGACAGCCGCTCTGCAGTGAGCGCCGGAACTGGCGAGGTCGTACCTACCTCGGCGGTCGGCGGAGGACCCACCGAGCCGCGCAGTCAGGTCAACACGACACACCGGTCGACCATTTACAGATAACCTATCAAACACTCGTCAGGATTTGCGAAATTCCCTATCTGGCGATCGCCGCATAAGGCGGTGTGATTTACTGTCAGTTTGATAGCTCACAATGGTGTCACTATCTGGTGAAGTGTGTCATGGACACGGAGCTGTCATGTGTAGCGCTAGCGATATAGGTGCGGTATCGGCAAAGATAGTCGATATAGAGGCGGCTTTTCACTGAGGACCGACGCTCGCGACCTTCCCGTGTGGATTTAAAGGACTATTAGCTATCAGAGGGATGGGCGGAAGGTGAAATGTGTCATCACTTTACTGCAATGATAGTCGGTGCCCGATATAAGTGGAAATGAGTGGTGACCTTCCGAACTGATTGTCATGAGCAGTGGATATATTGCACGGCAAAGATAACAGATGGAGGGAGGGTTGCATAATTACGAAGGACAGGCAGCCGGCAGGCAAAGCAAAAAAGAAGGGAAGAAAGGAGGACAGACAGAACGAAAGAGATAACAGTTTCAGCAGCATAACGACGGGTGGAAAAACGGAAGGACGAGTTGACAAGAGAGGTAGGAGAGACGGGAAAAGAAAATCGGCCAGAGTAGAGGAGCATAGGGGCGGCTCATAGGGAAGGGTCGAGCGTCCCAGTTCCATCCCAAGCATCGCTGCTCTCGCAGTCAGTGGCAGCCCGGCTCAGAGAGACCCGGCCGTAGCGTACGTACCGCCTCTGCCGACAAGCTGCTGTCGTTGGCCGCGTACCGCTCCTGGTTCAGCGCCGTCCTCTCCGCCTTGCACGCCGCGTGGTAGTCCGACTTGGCCTTGTTCACCTGAAACACGGACGGGTGTTTGGTGAGATTCGGATCGGGGTTGTATGGGCTACTACAGCGCACGGGAGTCAGCGATGGGATGGATGACATCCAGCAGACTGCCGGCAGGACTATCTACAGACTGTGCTTTGGTCGGACTGACAGCGATACCACATCAGGGGGCTGTATACGAAGAGAGGCGGGTGCATCATAAACTCAGAGATACATTCAGACTACAGCATCATAAATGCACAGCAGACAGCGAACACACAATAACCCAGCGAAATGTGGTCGACACGCTGTAAACGCAATCATTGCGAAGTGAGTTGCATGAACAAACCAGCCACACGTGAATGAACAGCATGACATCGATGTTTGAACGTCACGAAAAAATTGTCCCCTAAGCTACTGTTCATGCAGTTTTTGTGCATATAACAAGTAAGGAGTCAAGAGAAAACGATAACATTTTAGGATAGCCGAATATGTGTTTAGAAATGGCAAACGGCCGTTTCGTCAGCATCAGGACCAACCAGCCGCCAATGCGGTCAATCGTCGCAGATCAATCGACAATCGGGCCCCACTTCAGGCAATCAGAACGCATCCAGCGGTCACGACTGCCGCTCTGCACGGGTATTGCACACATCACGGTATATTGCATACAAGGTAGCAGCCGTTCAAACATCCGGCAAGGCAGTTTCCGAGAGAGGACATCAAACCAACATTGCAGTGTGTTAAACAAACGGGAGCTATCTGAACAACAGGTTGCTCAGCAGAAGCGCCGTATAGTTGCCCACCTCCACAGCTTCCGATAGCGGTTAGGAACTGACAGCGGCTGTAGGTGGGAGCGGGGGGGGGGGGGCAGTGACCCGTGCAAGCCGGTCCTACCGCGATGCGGCTGATCGGCTGGACACTGCATGAATACCACACCGACCGCGACAGGAGCCACACCTTCGGACAAGGCCGGACAAGGGTGCAGCTCTGTACCGGGAATGTGGTGGCTGCCGCGTGTCTACCCTCCACGGCATCGTGCGGCACGACACCATAGGGTGTCAACTGGTCTGGCGAATATGTGGTCACTGACTGCAGACATCGCTGGCCTCATTGCCTGTCTGCAAGGGTTGGTCTCATCCAGTTTCTATGTTCTCTATGCAAGCGAGTCGCGCCACGTGGCAAGGTCGCGGTCACATCTGGCCGGCCGGGACTCCGCGACCACGTGCGGCCGGGACTGGTAGCGGGCCTCACCGCCACCTGCTCTATGAACTGGACTGAGACCTTCACTCGGTCCGTCCCCCCGTCCCTCGTTCACAGACGCCCACAGTGCGACACCTGCCGAGAGGAGCCGCCCGGCGTCACATGGGGAGGTGCCGCCCACCCGTCTGACATTCCTACGAGCCGACAACGCCGGCGCCGTGTCGTCCAACCGTAAACAGCGGCCCCCGGCCGGCGCGCCGGGCCGGGACGGGTCAGCAGCGGTGGCCGGCCGCGGCCGGGACCGGCTCCGCCCGCGGCCCGGCGCGTGAGGAGGCCGCGCGCCGCGGTCACTCACTCCGGCGGCGGCGGCGGCGACGGCGGCGGCGGACCGCCCGTCGCAAATCGTGCCGGGGCTGGCATCTGGGACAACCTGAGCCGCCGGTATCTCAGTCATCGGCGACAGCTTGACACTCGGGAGCGGGACAACCTCTCAAGTCTCAGCAGCATCAATCTTAGTCGTCTCTCTGAGCACCGCTCTCGGCACCCTCCAATCAGGGACACCCTCTCGGGGCCACGGCACTCAGTGGCACCCCTCTCGATATCCTCTCGACACCACTCTCGGTGCCCTTACACTCGGGACACCCTTCACCTGTTGCAATGTTTGCATTGATCTCAGCACCACCGCAATATTGAACAGATAAACAGATAAGCTCCACTCTTTCGACCGAGGTCGCTGCCTTGTTGACCCGCCACACCAAAGGTCATCTGCTCGTCACCCGGCCGGCCACCGACCCTCTTCTGTCAGTGAGACGAGTAGGCACCGAGTGAGTCACCACACCGAGCGGGACTTGTGGACGAGTAACGGATGCATTGGGCACGGCAGCGGCACTGTGACGCTGTTTACTGCAGATGTGGCCGGGTGGAAAATTGATCCCCAATGACGGAGTGCTCCGGAAATTGACGAGCACAATCTATACAAAGCCACATCTCGACCGCTCAATACATAGCTTTGCCAGCGCGACGGGCGAGCAGCCACAACCTGCACACACAGTCCCATACATACAGGCGGCACCATGAGTAGCAGTGTAAGGTGCCAGTAATCGCGCCCGAGTCAGGCGCCGAAATGATAGATGGCTTGTAGAAAAAGCCGCAGGCCGTAGTATCGGGTCGGACGCGTTTGATTGAGGGCCCGGGGGATGATGGAATACCGCCAAATCGACAGGAATACACGAATATCGTTGGCGTTCTGTGTCGATCAGCGACGTTCTCCGACGATCACTGGTGTTCTCTGAGGGCCAGCAGCGTTCTCCAGCGCGCCGATTTGGCTGTGTGAGGTGCAGGTCGTGACTGGACGTTATAATTTCTAGTTTGTACAAACCGTTAGCGAGCCCTGAGCGCCCGGTCCAAGCTCATGCCACGCGATGGAACGGCGACAAAGCAACGACAAATTTTTACATAAACCGGAACCCAACAACTTGTGAGAGCATTCTAGAGCAAATATGCTGCTTGGGTTGTGCACAACGAGCACAATGAGCTCCTTCACGAACCAAAAATACGCACATGTGAAGTGATACCACTCAGCATAAAGTGTTAATTACCGGAGCCCTAGATTTCTGCGACTGTGCTGGGAAGGTAGAGATTGCATGACAGCTGGAACGATGCATATTACGCCCTAATTAGTGCTGAGTCTCACTCGGCGGTGCCACTGAGTGTCGGCTAATTGCTCGACAGCGCTACCGGCCGTCAGTGTTCCCGTCCGGTCGTGATCGAGCTGTGCGGCCCAGTCACGGACAGAATCACGGACTAAGGCACGGACAGCGTTGTAGACCAGTTACGGACAAAAGCAAAGTCAATGGGCGGGCCACGGACAGGGTAATGAACCAAGTCATTGACCTAGTCAAGACCTGTCCGAGTCACGCCCAAGTCACAGCCCGTCAAACTCGACCGCACTGCCGTCTCTCGCTCTTACGGAGACGCACTGACATCTCCGTAGACTTCTTACGGAGACGCACCGTGCCAGTGCCCTCATGGTCATTGTACCCTGATGGCGCCTCGCGCCGGCAGCGGTTCGGGCCTCCAACACTTCCGCTGCCGAGCAGGTTCGGATGCGGTCTCTGCACAGCGGTTTGGGCTCCCAGGCGCCGCGGCCGAGACGGTTGGGTAGCGGGCTCAGAGCTGTAACGTGCCATTGTAGTTTTCTGATATGGGATCGGAGAGACCGCAGGACTGCCGACCGCAGACACGCATCGGTGGCGGGAGCGGAGGTCGACGAACAGATACTCACCTTATCCAGCAGCTTCTGCCAGCTCTTCTGCGCCTTCTTGAAGGCGTCGTCCAGGTCCTTCTTCTCCTTGAAGGACTGCATCATCGTCTGCGGAAACGGAGATACGGGAGGCATCAGTGACGGCAACAGCGACAGACTGACAGAAAACAGGCTTGTGATGACATTTTATGGACTAATAAGTGACTAATTTTATAAACAAACAGCTGTAAGCGAGTTTTATAATGACGTTCACTGCTCAAGACACACAAAATGTAAGTTTTATTATGAAACGTTATGATGAGCGCCGACACAAAAACAAACGTCTATTCCCTCTCCACTAACAAGTCACGTAATCGCGTTATATCGACATTCGATAAGTCACGTAACCAGCGTACCTATCCTTTCCGCTTCTCCTGCCAAGTATCCCAACCACATGTGCCCTCCATCACCCAAACTGCGTCCAGCGGACGCGCGCCGTTGCTCGGCCTCCTCCGAAGCCGCCCACCAGTGACGGTGTCTGGGATACGGAGCCAGCCCATTTGTTAGCCGTCCTCTGTAATTATCTGGCTGGAGCGCGGCTGACTGCCGTTCGCCGTTCGGTCGACCCGGCCGGTACAAAACCCATCAAAACAACAACGCGGGCCGCCACCAGGCGCCGCGGGAGCGCGCACCACGGCCCGCCGAGCTGCTGAGCGTTAGAGACCGACGGACAGACTCCCGGCTCCTGGCCGGCATCACGTCACGGTCAGAGCGGACCGCCACGGACCGTCACGGAGCGCACAGATGGACCACCGGTCCCGGCGGGCGGATGGTCCGTCTCAGAGCGGCACCGCGGACCGACCGGCCAGACGCGCCGCACCTGGCTCCCAATCAGTTGGGCTGGACGGAGGACTAACGGCGGACATAAGATAGGCGGTCCATGAATGTTGGACAACTGAAACTGTCACTCCGAGTTACCCAAAGTTAATGAATCATTGCACAAGTGAGCAAGGGAATGGTCGCTCATGCATTCATTTTACGGAGCAGAGTAAAAACATTTGAATTAGTAGAAGTTGTCCGCATAACGCATGTCCGGAATTATTTCCTGGCTCCTGGCATGTAAATGAGGCCATTGTATCGCTGCTGTTCCAGAATCTGACGGACGATGGTGTGACCGTTATTCAGATTCACCTGTCCGACACTGGCTCGTAGTTCAATAGGCACGGGAGCAGACACAACACAGCGTTGGTGACATATTATTCCCATCAAACTAACGCTGACTTCTTATCAAATCTTAAGTTCCACTTGTCATGGCTGTTTATTACTCATTAGTTCGACTTCCATTGCCGAGTTTTCCGCCAAGTTACTCGGTGCAACCAGGGTCGACGAGCCGCCGTTCGGGCGCAGACAGACGCGCCTCTGCGCTGCACGGTCAGCGTTGTACCGTGCCGAGGGGCCGGCTGATCGAATTCGCGGACAGACGAGCGGTCACAAACAGCGTCCCGAGACGCCCCGATGTCGCAACTCTGTCCGAAACACGACACCGCAACAGTGGGGCACGGCAGCCGCCGTCAAGACGTACTGCACGGTCAAGACGTAGCAACATACCGTATACACAGCTTACTTACATGAAATTACTATTGACTAGCAAGGTTTATCAACCAGCCACCTGCCCCAGTAATCAGATACAGGCTCAACGGGCCTTCCGAGACTTTCAAAACTTTATCACGAGCTGTGCAAGACACGACCTACCGGCAACTGACTGCAACTGCAGCAGTGGCAGTTCTACAACTGCGTGTAGCTGAAGTATCATCGACGGCATCCTGACCGTCATCGAAACCCTCGTCCAGACTCCAGTCAACCAACATAGGTACCCGAAATCTCTGAGCACAGAGCAGTGTAGCTCTCACAGACGGCTGGAGGGCGGGAGCGTGCCGTCGGGTGGACAGTCACGATTTTTAAACGGTCGTGACCATGAAAAATGAACGCTGGGCTACCACCGACAGAAATGGGTCACTGCAGCTCGCCTGACGGGAAATACATCAGCAGTCAGCACCGCGTGGAGGTGGCCAGAGCGCGCGACACAACGCACACGGCTGCTGAATTGTGCGGATACAAGGGCGCAGCAACACCATGGGACCCGGCCTAAGCCATTCATGTGATGTGACAGCCCGCGGCAGCACGGACAGTTTTGCCCTCCAAAACATACGACTGACAGAATGCCAAGGTCAACATTTTGTATTGATAACTACAGCAGTTTTAGTAACAGCCATTCCTGGCCATTGATTAGCTTATGCGTAAGCATCAACTTTCACGGACTTGATTGGCTGATGCTCATTTCACGTCCACAAGGGTTACAGAGGGCGCCCCGACGTGCCTTGCCTGGTCCTGTGCTCCGATCCCATTCGAAAAGCTTATGCATGCTGCACATGTGAGCCTGACTTCATTGGCCGCCTGTTGTCCCGATGAGCTGAATATAATGAAGTCAAAGGGGTGGCGTCAGCGGCCGCCGCAGTGGCGACAGACGGGCCGACGGAGCTAACGTGCCTACTGCCTACTGACCGGTCACAGGCGGATCGAACCTGACAAGCGTTAGTACTGGCAGGTGACAGACAGTCTGGCCATAATATCATGTCTTACGTCTACTAACCAGCCGGACAGGTTGACCATGTTATGCCTTCCGATTGGTAACAGAGAGGTTACGATTCTGCCACAACCTTTAGACCGGTGGCAAAGAAACCATCACGGCGGTTTTACCCTGGCCAGTAATAGTCCAATAAACCTTGCCCTGTCTACTCTGACCTCGCCTCGTCTCAGACCGACCGGGAGGCACCGTCGATGGAGTCAGACCGGTCCTGCCCGGAGATCGAGCCCGGCCCATCCCGGGCGGTGGCTCCCAGCCGCGGGCTCGGACCACACCATGGGCCAATACCGTGCCACGCCTCACTGGCCACGGCCGGGGGCAGGGCCAGGGGCCGTCACGCTTACTGGTCACCCACGGGTGATACCGACAAAGTCTGGTCTGGAGGAGGGGGGCCTACTGCTGTGAGTCATCGTAGAGGGCTCGCACCCTGCACCTGCTAGTGTTAATGTTATGTCTAGAGACAAGGTCAGCCCGCACAGGTGTCGCAGCTGCGGTCCAGTGACGTTTAATATGGACTGCTGACGTCACTGGTCAAAGCTTGCCTCGGTCAGCCGGTCAGTGTCCGAAGGCCGGGGGCCTGGGTGGTCGGGTGAATGCCAAACATTCCTACAGCACCGGCCTCACCGCAGCGGCGACCGCTGACAATTCAAAACGGCGACTGGCTCTGACCATTGACAGTGGATACTGGTGACTGACAGCCGCGACCGCTGATCACCGGTGGCGGCCACTGCTGACCGCTGACATCGGATATTGCTGACCACACACTGGCTATTGCTAATCATTCGTAGCGCTAGCCACAGGCCACTGACAGTGGGGGCGTTCCACGACAAATCGACAAATAAAAAATTAAATTTGCACCCTCATATTTTATTTTTCGTTGAAAACTGGTGTAAGGGGTTGTGATGGGCGGGGAAGCCAGCTGTGGCAAGGATTTTTTTCTTCGAACAACGGTTTCCGAGATATAGCCTCGGGCAATTCCAGCAGGTCGCGCTGCAGCCCTATGTTTGGCGGCCTATAACCCAGAAACTATTGGTTTTCTACGATAAAAACTTTATATGGTTCAACTCACAATCAGCCATCAAACATTTTGGCTATCTCGGATTTTCAATTTTGGAAAATTTTGATCACGTGACCTTTTGACCTATTTTTCGAAGAGTGACCTTAAAATTTTCCCCACTGAAAGTTGCAATTTTGTCTGATGACGATTAAAGCCTTATCAATTGTCATTCATATGCAAAAATAAAAAAAGTGGATATCGCCCTGCGTTGACCTCAGGTCAGGTCATTTTCAGGACCTGTCCATTATTACGAGCGGGAGCGACAGCGAGATCTCGAGAATAAAGCAAGATAGCGACAAGCGGTAAACGGTGCAGGGTACAAATGGATAAGGTCTATAATTTTTACTGAGGTCATTTTCAGGTCAGGTCAAAGATGACGTCACAGGAGCAAAAAGGAAGTCAAAATTGCGGCACTACAAATATATGAAGTTTTTCTAGAATAACTTTCAAGGTATCCCAGCTAGGAACAAACTAATAGCACCATTGTGATCCTCTCGTCGATCCGCATCGAATTATATGTATGTTAACCTCGAAAGGTCGAAAGGTCAAAAGTTGACCTTAGGTCACGTGACGAGCGGGAGCGACAGCGAGATCTCGAGAATAAAGCAAGATAGCGACAAGCGGTAAACGGTGCAGGGTACACACGGATAAGGTCTATGATTTTTACTGAGGTCATTTTCAGGTCAGGTCAAAGATGACGTCACAGGAGCAAAAAGGAAGTTAAAATTGCGGCACTACATATATGAAGTTTTTCTCGAATAACTTTCAAGGTATCCCAGCTAGGAACAAACTAATAGCACCATCGTGATCCTCTCGTCGATCCGCATCGAAACATATGTATGTTGACCTCGAAAGGTCGAAGGGTCAAAAGTTGACCTTAGGTCACGTGACCTAAGGTGAACTTTTGACCTTTCGACCTTTCGAGGTCAACATACATATGTTTCGATGCGGATCGACGAGAGGCTCACGATGGTGATATTAGTTTGTTCCTAGCTGAGATACCTTGAAAGTTATTCGAGAAAAACTTCATATATATGTAGTGCCGCAATTTTGACTTCCTTTTTGCTCCTGTGACGTCATCTTTGACCTGACCTGAAAATGACCTCAGTAAAAATTATAGACCTTATCCATTTGTACCCTGCACCGTTTACCGCTTGTCTCTATCTTGCTTTATTCTCGAGATCTCGCTGTCGCTCCCGCTCGTAATAATGTACAGGTCATAAAAATGACCTGACCTGAGGTCAACGCAGGGCGATATCCACTTTTTTTATTTTCGCATATGAATGACAATTGATAAGGCTTTAATCGTCATCAGACAAAATTGCAACTTTCAGTGGGGAAAATATCAAGGCCACTCTTCGAAAAATAGGTCAAAAGGTCACGTGATCAAAATTTTCAAAAACTGAAAATCCGAGATAACCAAAATGT